GCATGAATGAAGGACAGCATTTTAGGAGAAGTAATGATCAATAAGGTCAGCTGCTATGGAGAGATCACGGAGAATAATGAACGAAAAATCTATTGGATTTCACAGTAAGGCAGGTGTTGGTGACCTTTGAAATGCTTGCTTCAGCAGAGTGATGGGCAGGGAGCCCAGATAGCTGGGAGTTAGAGATTTCCTATTTATCTGAGCACATGGAAACAGAATTTTCCTCAGTGAAGTTGCCAAATAACTTTTTTAGTTGGTTACTTAACTCCATTGAGCCTGAAATCTCAAAATAGGGGCTCATTGGGGTAATTGTAAACCCTAGAATGATAGTAGACATATAGTAAGTGCTTAAATGGCCATTTCCTTTACCTGTCCCTCCCACAGCTACTTTTCTTTATTAATGCTATTGAATATATCACTCTTTATACGTTTTTATAAGAACTGAAATTGTTTAGGATATTTCTCCTTTCATTCATTGCAGAAATTATGAATTGTGTTTGGATTAGAACTAATATACCTTTAGTTGAACCAGACAAGACATGGAAATTACATGGTATGTAATTTCATTACATGTTGAAATTCCCCAAAAGGTAGTTGAATTATCAGCTGTAGGGTTCCCAGTAACTCAGATACGGATGGAAACTAGAATTTATGACCATATCTTAATTTTTGGTTTCCAGTTGAGGAAGGGAAGGATGGAGGGACAGACAGAGGGACGGATGGATGGAGGGAGGGAGGGAAGGAGGGACAGAGGGAGGGAGAAATACTGAAATTCAGAGAGAGGTGGAGTGAAGGAAGGGAGAGAGAGAGAGAGAGAGAGAGAGAGAGAGAGAGAGAGAGAGAGAGAGAGATTAAGATATATTGAGATTGTTCAGGTCATATAACTGAAAATTCCAGAGATGATACCAACTTCAAGCTAATTATCAGTACCACTATGAGGTCTTTTTAACATTGTCTTATAGTCCAAGTCATTCCACTCAAATGATTCACATTTACTAACATTCTTACTAGCTATTAATTCAGAGAGAAAAGAGAAGAAATCCCCATTAGGTGTAACTAAAATCCTAGATTTGATCTTACTGTCCATTCTTCCACCATTGTTGTGGTCAGGGGATGTAATATATTGGTTTTCCCATCCCCATAGGCCTCACTCATGTTCCCAGCCCTACAGGATTCAGCTCTGAATCCTCCTTAGACAATGAAGATCTAGAAGCTCATCAGAGTCCAAGTATCAGCTTGCGTATTGTATGACACTTGAAGAGTCATTGCTGGCTTTTCATTCCTCCAAAAGTTGTCAGCACTTGGTGACTCAATATGACCTGGAAATATTAAGCACTCTATTTTGATACACTGTAGAAACTTAACAGAATGATAAGTCTTCAATGCTGTGTTCAAGCTGAAATTATAGCTCATACCTACAAGCTGGGCTATTGATTTTTTACATCCTTGTCTATAGGTCATCTCTGGGACACTTTGCATTACTTGGTATTTGGGCTTTGTTGTAACTGCTACTGGCTTTCTGGCCAACATTTCTATCTCCCATTTCAGGGCCTAAAACTGGCCATTTGCTTATTGGTATAAATAAACTTTTGTTGGGACACACACACATACACCATTCCCTTCAGCCTTACCAAGGTATAGCTCCTTTCCTGGTGTAATGCTCAAGTGAGCCGCTGTGAAAGAGAAATTAATATAGTTACTGAGTATCAGGCTTGTAGAGTAAGCTGTTGACCCCTGCTATATATATTATACATTTTATCACACTGTTCCTACTTCTTTATATGTGATACACTTATAAAGAATAATCATAGCTTGGAGAGATGGCTCAGTGGGTAAAGGAGCTTGCTATCAAGTCTGATGACCTGTGTTCGATCTCCAGAACCCACAATGCAGAAAGAAAGAACCAGCTTCACAAGTTGTTACCTGACCTCCATATGTATACCATAGCACGTATGCACAGGCACACGCGTACACACAGGCACACACACCCCACACACAAAAATAAATAAATAAATATAAAATTAAAAAGAATAATCCTGAAATATCCCTATGTCTCACTATTTGATCACAAAAGGTAGTTTACATGTTTTACCTGTGCTTTTATAATGATCTGAACTATATCTCTCTTTCTCTTTCAGTGGTTTAATCCCTTTTAAAATCACCAGCCTCTTAATGATTCTGAGGACAGGGACTGTGTTTTGCTTTCTGATCCTGAACACATCTGAACATAACCTACATACACTTTTCAGAAGTGCCGAGTACCAAGGCTATGCACAAAAATCAAAATTTGATGTCATTTCCTCTCTCTGGGATCCTCTCAATTTTTCATTTATTGTGGTCAGAACACAAACTCAGACATGTTTGATAAGGTTCAGGAGGGTTGATGAAAGGAAGTGGAAGAGGAGCAGATTTCCCCAAATCTATCACTAGACTGTGTAAGCAGATCAACCACTCATCAGAAGGCTATGTGGTTAAGCTGTACTTGAAGAACTAGGATAGTAATACCCTTTTCCTGCCTTTCTGCAGCCTAAATGCCCTGTGGGGTAAGAGAAAACTTCAATCTCTAGACTTGTAAATCCCTTATCTTTCCCAAACGTTAAATTAATTTTTAAAGCTATTTATTCAAAGTTGACTTAACCACTAGAATAGGAGAGATCAGACAAATCAGCTGCAAGAAATGAACCACGAGGAAGCCCGAACTCTTTGACAAAGTATTCCTGGGAGTAAATGTGTTGAATGAAGCCAGCGGGTAAATGATAAGGGCCTTTACACTGTGGATGTAAGAAAGCAATTTATCAAGAGTACGTGAACTCTCTAGTGACTCCAAGTGAGGAGGAAACTAGAGTAAAGGAGGAGCCCTAAAAAACACATTAGAAACTACACATGTGGGCAAACACACACACACACACACACACACACACACACACACACACACACCAGACCACAAAAAAATCCCTATGTGCATGTACTTTTTAATCTTTACATTATTATGCAGAAGTGCTGGTATGTTAAAATAGGGGTGGCTCAGCCAGCAATTTTTTTTTTTAACTGTAGGCAATACTACTGTGTAATAAAGTGTTAGGGAAAGCACTTGACACGGGCCATTCCATAGCTTAGAATTTGCAGAAACATTGGGCTCTCTAGGTGTAGGTATGATTCGGGTCAGGGTGTTGTCTGATATCTGTTTGCCTGACTCATAAGGCCAGATGACCATCTTTCCTGCTTGTGGTATTTGCTTTTTTAATCTCTAGAGCATGTGTGTGTAATTCTGAAAGTTAATTGTAATGCCTTTCGTAGTCTTTTGAGGAGTTCTAGGTGCTTATCATTGATCATCTCATTAATCTCGGCATCATCTCTTTGAGCCCTGCAGCTGAGACATGTGTAGCCTTCATCATTTATGTTGGATAAGATGGGGCCATATGCATTATGTTATTAGCAGTACTTTCTACTGGCTCGGATATGGATGGTGACTAGAATTTATGATGTTAAGGCTTTTTTTTTTTTTTTTTTTCTTTTGGTCTTTTAGAGACAGGGTCTCCCTGTAGCTCCAGTTGACCTGAACTCACTGTGTAGACCAGGCTGGCCTTGAACTCACAGAGAGCCACCTGCCTCTGCCTCCCGAGTGCTGGGACTAAAGGCGTGTGACATGTTAAGGCTTTTAATTCTAGGAGAGAGATGTAATTTAGTTGACAAGAGAACATAGTTGCTGAAGTGTGAATTTCCAAGTCTTTATTATACTCATCCTCAGCTTTGTTTTTAATTTTAAAAATATTTTAATTTTATGTGTATGGGTATATTGCCTGCTTGTATGTAAGTGCACCTGTGTCCACTGCCCATGGAGGTCAGAAAAGGGTGTTAGATTCCCCTGAGACTGGAGTTACAGACATTTGTTACCGGCCACATGGGTGCTGGGACTCCAACCCAGGTCCCCTCTGTAAGAGTAGCCAATGCTCTTAACTGCTGAGCCACCTCTCCAGGCCCCCTGCCTCAGCTTTCTGACTGAGTTAATACTGTTAGCTGAAATCACAGAAATTCCCAGATTTTCATTTTAGTCATTTACTTTCATTTTCATCTGACACTCTTGTAAGAGCTGTTAACTAAGTAACTTCAAGATACCATGACGATGAACACAAAACTATCCCACAGACAAACAAGAGAAAAATTGGAAGCACTAAAATTTCAGATAATCTCCCTTAGCTAATTTGAGTTACAGTTTTTAACTCTCCACACAGCTGTCAGCTTTCCTTACTCCTTTTGTGTTAGGCCTTGTTTGTGGATGTGGTTGTGGTTGTTGACATGGATTATATGAATAGCTCAGGCTGGCCTCGAATTCCCACGCCTCTTTATGAGCCATCGGAGTGCTATGATTACAAACGTGTGATCTGCACCCTATAGTCTAAAGAATAATCTTTCCCCTCTTTAAATCACCTAGGTATAATAAGGGGTGCTAGAAGGGATGAATCTTTTTTTAAAGAGTGGTCCCACTAAATAGTAGACGTTGGCCTAGAAATCACATTCTTCCTATTTTAGACTTGCCAGTGCTGAGATTCAATGTATGCACCACCATACCTAGTTCAGGCAGTGAATCTTACTTTAGCAAGTGGTATTAGTTGAACCTGTTTGTGCAGCATGAGTTTAAATTTGCATGTATATGGGGAGGAAGAGAGGACACTACGGTAACCTGAACTATAGTTCAGTTAGCACATTGATTAGCCAGGCTTTTAGAGTCATCCTTGTCGTTTAAAAAGCATCCTTGATGATGCTCTATAAATTACATGTTTTAAATATTTGCTATTTTCTGTAATTCATAAGCACCAAGTCAAAGGAAAAAAAAAGGCAAAACAGGGACGAGAGAGACCTTTGCTTAAATATCTGTTTATGATCTGTCTGTCAAAATGGAGCCCTGATAATATATAGCGATGTTTCTAATTTCTCTGTCTCTGTCCTTTCTGTCTCTTTATTCCTGCTCCATCCCGGGGACATCGGTGGGATGACCACAGCTTTGGATAAACTCAGCACACAGCATCTGTACCACCCCACTCAAGTGGAGATTGTGCAGTCCAATGTGGTGTTTGACATCAGCAGCCTGATGCTCTACGGAACGCAGGCAGTGCCCGTGCGGCTAAAGATCCTGCTAGACCGGCTCTTCAGTGTTCTGAAGCAAGAGGAAGTGCTACACATACTGCATGGCCTGGGCTGGACCCTGCGGGACTATGTCCGGGGATACATCCTTCAGGTAGGGGAAGGATGAATTCTGCATCTAAGACAACTCTCAGACGGTTGGATGAGTGCTGGGGGCACACAGGTTTTTCTCTAGCCCCTTGTAGGCCCAGATATGCGTACCTTCTACTGGTCAGGGCTTTGGAAAGGAGTTATCTCAGTAGGCTGTTGTCAATCCTTAGCAATGTGTGTAGCTGAAGGGAACTGACCTGTTTTTTTTGAGTCAGGGTCTCCCTGCAGCCACAGCTGGCCCAGAACTTGCTGTATAGACCAAGCTGATCTCACAGAAATATGCCTACCTCTGCCTCCCAAGTGCTGGGATTAAAGGCGCGCACCACCACACCCAGCTATTTGCACCTTTTGAATCCAATTCTTTTTCCCTACAAACTGGGCTGTCTTAATTCCCCCAGTAAGTCTTAGTGTCTTTGAGATGAGAGAGACGTGTTGAAAATATGAGTACACGCTCTATCTGGGTCCATGAAGGTCTTTTCTCAGGCCCAGGAGGCACAGTGTACTTCCTGACTGCTGTGTGCCCTCACTATTTGTTGTCTTCCCTCAAATCAAAAGAAGAACTGCAGCCTTCAGAATCTGTCAGCCTGCATATTCAGCAAACTCTCAGAGTTTGATATTCTGAAACTACAGACATGGTTATAAGTTTGACCAAGGTACCTGATTGTCTGGCCTGGAGCCCCTTTTGATAAATACCAGTGGCACGTCTGGTGTGGTAGGGTTTCCAGAGTTATCTGGGAGGACCAGAGTCTCTTCCATACCACCAAACCCCTGTGCTTTTCAACTTTTATTTTATTGTGTTATGTTATGAGTCATTTTGCAATATTTATTTTGCCTCGGAAATTCCTTGTCTACCTTCCTTCCTGCAACGCTTCAGGAGTAAATTTTTAGAGCAATGTATTGGGAGACCCCAGGATCCAAAAACCTGAGCGAACACTACCTTGTGTCTAAGGAGATTTCATTTAGAAAAGGTGGACTCTGAAGTAGTTTTTGGAGTTCTCTATGGACATATTACCAAGAGAACTGACCACTCCAAAATGAAAAAAATATTGTGGCTGTGGCAGCCTTTTAGAACCATAGATCCTTCCAGTGTTTATGATCAGAGCCTCCCTATGTAATATGCAAGACCTTGGCTGCCAGCTACCTGTACTGCACAGACTGGGTCCCTGATGAATAAGGAGCCTTCAGTGTCTCCCCTCAACCCCATGCTTTTACCTGGGGTGAGAACACACAGATTTTTGCCATTCTCCTGCCTGGTTCCTCTAGGTCTTAGGGGAGCAGTAGGATAGTAAACAGATGTAGAAACAGGACGTAGAACGACCTGTCTGCTCCCATAACAGAATGATTTCTTAGTTTAGGGAGAGTCTCAGCTTGGAAAGCTCAGAAATTTTGGCCCTCAGAGGATGGGGTGAAGGTGATAATCATACACTGTTTTCAGTTGATGGAGTGTGCTTCCAGCGTTCTCTTCTTTGCCTCTGGATGGAGACATTTCAGCGTGGTAAGTAGGCTAATAAGTCCTGGGAAGTCAGGAGATACAAAGGAGCATGAGGTCCAGGATGAAGAACCAGGGAAAAGCAAGCACCCAGCCACGTCCACAATCACTGCTTGTGCTGGCTTGGTTCTTTCTGCAGTCATTTCCACATGATTGCTGACGTCTCGTACAGGTGTTTGACGAGAATTGTTAGCTCACAGTCTTCTTTATCCAAAACCCGTCAAGTGCCATCTTTGCAGTCCCCACCATGCTACTTGCTTCTGCCATCAATGTTGTAGTTTAGTTCCATATGAAATTTTTGCCTGAGAGAATAGGAACATAGATATTGTGTCTTCTTCTTTCAAACAAATAGATACATGCATGGCTCTGCTGATCTGCCTTCGTGATAACTCTATAGTAGCTCCCGTGGTGTGTTAATTTTTTATTTTTTGATTGTTTTAATTATGTGTATATGTATGTTCTGTGTGACATTTGTGCACATAAGTGAAGTGCTGGGATTACAGGCTTTTGTGAGCTGCCTGGTGTGGGTGCTGGGAACTGAACTCAGCTCATCTGGAAGAGCAGCATGTACTCTTAACCACTGAGCTGTCTCACCAGCCCTTTCTATAGCATTTTGATGACAGTTAATGCAGAACCTGCTGGTTTTTCTGTGACATTATAATACCACTGTTTTCTACTGCTCTGCCTTGACCAGAGCTTTTTTTAAAAATGAAATACATATTTAGGTATTTATTTTCCCAACATTTTATTATGACTCTAAGGAGAATATGGAAGATATATTTCTTTAAAATGTACTATAGGGGCCTGAAGAAATGGCTCAACAGTTAAGAGCACTGGCTGCTCTTGCAGAGGACCTGGGTTGGATTCCCAGCACCCACATGGCAGCTAACAACCACCTATAATTATTGTGCCAGGGAATCCGATGCCCTCTTCTGACATCCGTGGGCATAACATGACATGGGTGCACTTACATACCAGCAATACACTAATACACATAAGATAATAAATTTTAAAAAATAAATAAAATGTACTGTAGATTCCATTGTATATGAGAGAGTTCCAAGAGAAGTGCAAAAAAAAAATTCAGCAAAGGCTTCAAATCAGCATGAATAATGTGTCTTATTAGGAGAGGAAACACTACATATAAAAAACATTGTCATTCTTACACTTTATAATTAAGTTTTCATTAACTAATGTAAATTTTGACAAGTCTCAACTTTTAATACATCATTTCTTCATTCAGAGTTTAAAACTGATGTTTTCAGAAAAATCATAGCTTTTGTACATTAGAGGAACACTTGGTTTAATTTCTGTCTTGCTATATTGATAGAATTGACACTATTGATTTTATTTAAAGACATTTTTGTCATTTAGCATGTATAATATACTTGTTCTTTGTGAAAACAGTTCTCGAGTTAGAGTGAAAGAAAAAGGTTGCAAGATACATAACCATTTAAAGGCACTTAGAAAATTTTGTAAAAGAAAAAATATTCATCTGTAAAAGGAAAAGAATTCAACTATAAAAATAACCCCCTTTCTTCTAAAGTTGTTGCTTGATTACTGGCCAGTATTTTAGAAATTATTATACTAATGAGAAGGTATGCACAAATGACTTTGAATATAATTACATGTAGCATTTTTGTACAGGTAGATTATAAAATGTGCATCTGAGGGCTAAGGAACCCTATAATGTACTCTTAGTGTACAAGTCATTTTATCTGGCTAAAACTCAATTGCCTTGTAGCCCTTAAGGCATCAATTTTAACATTACTGCGCTCAACAACAGTATATTGAATATTATGTCAGTTAAAGGAGAATAATTATCAAGTCAGGTTAGGGTGGCTGTTAGTCTTACCACATATTGACTTGGTTAGCAGTTGGCTATAGATTGTATTACTGGGCAAATGAAGATGTACAGTAAGCTGAACTGGTCAAGCCAGGGTATTAATTTAACTCTCTGTGGGCCCAGACCTACATCCTTTATGTGTTTCCTATCTTTAGCAGTAATTTTGAATGTGGACGCAAAGCAGGTGTGTGATCTCTCCAATCTGGAGTAAGGGGCATGGTTGGAAAAGAGCAGGCCATTCTAAACTCATGTAGAAGCTATCCTCTGCACATCAAGAAATTCAAAGAAAAAGGAAGATTAGAAAGATTGGCGTATCTGTTAAGGAGCCTGTACTTTTCTGATTAAAAACTGTCTTTCACTTGGGTAATTTTCTATGTATTCATAAGGTAGCCAGCTGGTATAAAATGCACAGTGTAACCGGACCACAACTACTTAGGAACAGATCTGTTCACTCAGAAAGTACAGAAGTAAGGTAAGTGCTTCAGAAAAGTAGAACGGGAGTAGTCAATTAAAAGCTAAAATGTAAACATAAGGGAGCATATGATATTTTCTGCTAAGAAAGATAATTATTATTTCAGGGCATCCTCTGAGGGTACATTTATTGACAAATACTAAAAGCAGTGCCTGCCCTTTGGTCCTTTCCCCATTTCCTCTGTCTTTCACTTAAGAAATAATAATGTACATGGTTATCATTGTTGAATTTAATCATTTAAAAATCAGATTTTCACACCGTCTCTGTTTAGCTTGAACATGTAGCTGACTTGCCTGGGCAGCACCAGCCTGTCTTTGGAAATCTCCCCACTTACAAGTGGGTCCTGCCAGAATTCAAAGAACTAGTTCAGTCCTTCTGAATAATTAGCTGAGGTGTCAGCAGCTTGTGAGCAGAGAAGCAGGTACACACACCTCAGGTCACCTGGGTCTTGATAGAGTAATCAGTACCATAGAACAGCATTTCTCAAAGACTAACGTGGCATCAGTCTGTGAGAAGCCCAACTTTAGATGTGGGAGGAACTGAACACTGGATCCTTCTCTGAGCACTTTATGGTACACATTAGCATAATAAAATCTCTGAGAAGCTTTGAAGGAAATAGGCTATGAGATTAGGTAAGTAGCTTTCCCTAACCTTTTCCAATTCACAATCTTTTTCTGTCAAGTTTATCAGAAATATTCAGTTCCTGAACATATCCACCTCTTCCTCAGCATTGGATACATGTTATGTATGAAGGGTTTCTTCTACCTACTGTTCGTTTGCATGGTCATGTCTTATACATAGTGAGATGAAATTCCTAGTCGTTGCTGTTGTTTTAACCAGGACCAGATGAACCAATGGAGCTCTTTCCTGGCATGGTTCTATCTCAAGACTTTCCTTAAAGCTCCTACCACAATTTGAACTCAGTCAATTGGTCACCCTTGTCGTTGCCATAAAATACCACAAATTCAGTGTACTCAATACATACTGGTTATAAGAAAATCTGCTTAAACTTGGAATAAGTTGATATTTTGCCATAGAACTCATGCAGTACCCAGCAACTTCAGTTTGTCAAAGGCCTCTAGCCTTTCTTCAGACTTTTAAGGGACTGACTGTAGTAGTTTTCTCTGTACTGTTGAAGGTTGTAAGAAGCCAAGTCTTCAGGCTGCCTAGCCAGTGGTCTGTGAAAAATAAATTTTT